CCAGGATGTAAGTGATCAGAGACGTGGAAATTGAGGGTCTCAAATTAATAATGGTTACAGTCTATTGATTGATACTGTGACGAGTAAGGTCTAAATTACGATTCACAGTAAGATTATCATATTACTAGAAAGGCCTTTATTGGGAGTGTAGGAGGATTTCTACCGTAGTGATTCTTCATTTTAGGAAGGTGTCTGTTAGCCACGACCGCTCCAAATGTATTCTGTGATGTTCTTCGCGTAAAAAGTGGCTTTCTTCAAAACGGTCTCGTTGACCAGTGATTCCGTAGTGTGCTGACGGTAAGTAAAACAAATTCAAATTTTTTTCTTTCACAATTTACTAAAAATTTTACTTTTTTCGTTAACTTGGGAAAAGTACTGATCATTGAGGCTGATGAGCAGCCTTTAAGCAAAAAAAACAAGCCTTTCAAAACAATAAGCACTAATGTTTATTGACAACAACAAGGGTGCTTGAAAAGCTTATAAATTTTTTCAAGGATGAAGCCTATGACTTAACATAGTTTTCAGTCCTGGAAAGTTAGTATAGAAGTGCTGGATGTGACTTAGAAACGCTGGGAAACAATCTAAAGAAGTAAAATACCAATATCGAAATGTTTTTCTCTGGCTCCATTGAGTTATTTTTCCAAGTATGTTACCGAAGGGGAATATCTCTGCTTTCCAAAGATAACTACGGTAAGTGCATCAGAATTTCAAAACTGATCTTGACAGAAGAAAACATAAGTGATTTGCTCAATACTTAGCCTCAAGAATCATGAAATTTGGTTGAATTGGATGAATTGCTGGCTTCTTCTCTGAGGGCAGACTTTTTATAAGTTTTAGGAGGGACTTTTGGAATGTCCCATTCGGCACTAGCTACCTAATACGCGGTAAAACTGAAAAGCAACAATAAAAGTTTCCAAAAGGAGAAAGAAATTTACAGACATCCCTCAAAAAAGTAGATATTCACTCTTGAAACCATTTGAAAATTTGGTAGTTTTTTTTTTATAAATCAGAAAGTTGGTAAGAGAAATGACGCTTTATGCGGAAGAAATTATATATGTTATTTAAGTACTGTATTTTCCAACAGTTCATCAGTGTTTTCCACCTTTTCAGTATCTTATAATCTGTGATACACTTTACACACATCGTATATATTATTGATTAGAAGGCAGATGGAGGAGGGCAATAGAATAACGGATAAGCCTTAACTATAACTCGAGGCAATGTCATCAAAAGAAAGAAAATCTAATTCCTGCTGGCATAATAACTTTATTGGTCCTGCCATACGCTATTTTTGCTACCGCGTACACCACTCAAAATAGCGAGACTCTATAAATTAATTTACGAAACGTTTACCTGGGGTCTCAAATGCTCCTCCACCTCCATCAACAAGTGCCAGTATCCAAAATCTCACCAATTTTACTACTTTTAACAAAAGAAAAGTATTTTTTGGAACGGGTAGTGGAAAGAATTATTGGCATGCGGAATGGGGAGCAGGTGAGAGCAAGGCAATGAAAGGACAGAGGTAAGTAGTGGAGATGGGAGAGCAGCGAACAGGAGGCGAACACATAAATAACAAATAACTTTAGAAGCCAGTCAGAGGTTAATGTCAGTGGTCTTCAAACTCCAACATAGTGCTGCGCGAAAGTTAAGTTTGCTCTAGGTTTTAGAGGTTCTCTCGCGTAATCTCTCTGTAGGTTGTAAAGTATTTTAACTAAGCAGAAAGCTGAAATTATTTACAAGTTAGATTCGTTCCTTTCCAATTCCTATAGACGTTTTTGCTAAGAATCTGACGCTTATAGTATCACTTTTGTAGTAGCAATTTCGTAAATATTCCTGATATATTTTGAAAAAAAAAAAAAGAGAATAGATCGATTTGGTGAAGCGCCAATGTAAGCCATTTGTGAAAAAAAAAGAAACGTTAAGCAGTGAGATACGCGGATTTTATGTCAGGTTTTTTTAGAAAAATCGATTTTTTTTTTTTCAGATTGTGAGAGTAAACTCAGGGACTGGTGCATTACAGGAAGAAGTTGAGTACGCAGGGCTTTTAAATAGTGTGGCTATCGAAAGCGAGCAGTACAATTTCACCAAAATCGCTCACAGCTGTTCTATGCTACGGCAGGGCGTTAAAGAAAAATTTAGAAATAACGGCAGTTGTAGAAACTGAAGGGGAGACTAAGTGGGAGTTAGAGAAACCGTTTAACGAAGACTGCTTGCAGAGGTATTCGCATTAAACAGAATCGATTGGGCGAATTGAAGATAGCCGCTGCCTTATTGGCTGCATCTTCTTAACGGACACCCGGATTGAATCGTCTCTACATTTCAAGCAGTTCGTCTCTAGTCAAGTCTATATTATTCTCTCAATTCATTTTAGATTTATTTCCAGGCCTTTTTTTTTCTTGTTTTTCAGTGAACAAGTATATTGCATCTGAATTTGCGAAGAATTTACTGTTTTATAAAATATTCTTGAAAAAGGTAAAATCCAGAAAAAAAAACGTTCCACCATAAATGTTATAACTCTCAGTTGCCGATTTAATAATGCGCCCACCCATGTGGAGGTATGAAGATTGTTGCCGTTTCATAGCGAAAAGCGTATCAATTCTATTTCCTGACCCATGTCGTTTTCTCTGCCTTTCTGTTTTTCCACTTCTCCAACACTCTCTCACGCGGCCTTCTTCCATATTGGATGTTTGGTTGGAGGAGCATTGATTGAATGTTGAATTCCCCAAATAAATCGGTTAGACGTATCATCGAACGCGTATTTGCCCACATGCTGACATTATTGATTGTTATGTTTTGACATTTATTTCTGCAAATAGGAGCGGGAGTTTTTGATGCGGTAAAATTTGTTTAGTGAACAGTCTGATGAGATCCAGCGGATTTTTTTCAGTGCTGCACCATGATCTATGATACTGTTTTAACGTGTAAAATATGTAACCAGTATATGGTTGATCCGGTTTTGGTACGAGCCTGTTATCACAGCTGTAAGTTCTTCATCCAGTAATATTTGCTTCTTTTCTATTGTCATTTTTTTTTTTCAAGTTAACAAAGCAGGAAATGCAGCTTACCAGTTTAGTGTTTAAAAGAATCTATTTATTATCATCGCAGTATTCAGGAAACGTTTATCGATTATTTTTCCATTAGCATTATGCGCGTTCTCCTTTTTCTTTGTTTTTCCTTTTGTTCCTTTGAAAACCTGGAAGCAAATGAGATCAGTTTGGTATGAATTTTTGTTTTTGGATTTCTTCCAAATACAGAATTGCTGCGGAACAAGGCTTAAAAAACCATTGTTTAATTTGAATTTCTGTAGCAAAAACAGCAGTTTTTTCCAACGCAGCTAAAGGCGGTGGTTTTCCACCGAACCAATTCATCAGTTATTTAAAAAATATTTTAAGCGATTTTTTAAGCACATTCATTGCTACACAGTGTTCTTCTTTCACAAAATTTTCAAGTAAGTAATGTTTCCAAAGTTATAAGTTCGTCTGTCTTTAGTCGACTGCTACTTTAGAACGGTTTTGCGAAGTATTCTCAGTAGTAATCAGAGACACTTTGTACAAATGAAGCGAGAGATTTGCAAAAACTATGACAAAAAGAGTTGGATTTCCATTCAATTTCCACTACTGAATTCGGCTAATAGCTTTGTAGAGTGTTAATTTTTGTTGGATTATGTGTGAATGGTAAGGCACGGTAAAATTTCAAAAGCGTCGCGTCAACTAAAGTGCACCGACAAGCTAGTCTTTCCTTGAAAACCTAGTTTCAGTGT